CTATTCTATTCTATTCTATTCTATTCTATTGTTCTGTTCTGTTCTGTTCTTCTATTGAGAAGCTGGACATCAGGATGTGGTTAATGTACAGAGTCCTTTCACATTTTTTATTTATTTTTCATTTATTTATTTGTCAAACATGTATTAGATGACAGATATAAGTATAAACATGATTATGAACACATGAAATGGTTACGAATAAAAGGGGGACATTAGGACAGGGACGGAAGGCAGCCTGGTACTGTTATGCACGCCCCCTTCACGAACCTCTTAGGAATGGGGTGAGGTCGACAATACACAGTCTAAGGTTAAAGTTTTGGGGGTTTGGGGAAGAAACCACAGAGTCAGGGAGTGTATTCCAGGCATTGACCACTCTGTTGCTGAAGTCGTATTTTCTGCAATCGGGAGATGGGGAGGAAGCTTCTAACATCTAACCTGGGCTTCCACCTTGGGAGTAGCCAAAAATTAAACAAGTTAGGCCTAATAGGTTGAATGAAAGACCAATTAATCTTTTGTTGCCCTGAATCAGGGTGTTGCAAAAGCTTCCAGGATGTTGACTAACAGAGTAACAGAGTTGGAAGGGACCTTGGAGGTCTTCTAGTCCAACCCCCTGCTCAATCATTCATCAATCATCCATCCATCCATCCATCCATCCATCCATCCATCCATCCATCCATCCATCCATCCATTTATTTATCCCCTTTTATTCATATCCTTATCCTGTTTTCATAATCATGTTTATACTTATATCTGTTATCTTACGTGTTTGACAAATAATAAATAAATAAGTAAATAAAAGGAGGAAACCGTATACCATTTCAGGCAAATGGTTGTCCTTCAAAACTTCCAATGATGGAGGACCTACAACTTCTGGAAGCAACTCGTTCCACTGATTAATTGTTCTCACTGTCAGGAAGTTCCTCCTTAATTCCAGGTTGCTTCTCTCCTTGATTAGTTTCCATCCATTGTTTCTTGTTCTGCCTTCTGGTGTTTTGGAAAATAAGTCAACCCATCCTTTTCTTTGTAGCAGCCCCTCAAATACTGGAACACTTTTATCATGTCCCTCTTACTCCTTTTCTCTAGACTGGCCATACCCAAATCCTGCAACCATTGTTCGTATGTTTTAGTCTTCAGGCCTTCAATCATCTTTATTTATTTATTTATTTATTTATTTATTCGATTTGTATACCGCCCTACTCCCGAAGGACTCAGGGCGGTGAACAGCCAAACAATAAAATAACATAGACATAAAAAATTTAAAAACCAGATAAAATCAAATTAAATTATTTTGGCCCAGACAGATTAAAACACCCCAATAATTTAAAAACAGATTAAAATTTACATATTTAAAAGGGAAGAGATTAGGCCAAGCCCGCCTGCTGGAATAAAAAGGTCTTCACAGCGCGGCGGAAGGTGCGCAGATCCGGGATCCTCCGTATCTCCAGGGGGAGCTCATTCCAGACGGTAGGTGCCCCCACAGAGAAGGCTCTCCCCCTAGGGGTCGCCAGCCGACATTGTTTGGCTGACGGCACCCTGAGGAGGCCCTCTCTATGAGAGCGTACTGGCCGGTGGGAGGCTATTGGTGGTAGTAGGCGGTCCCGTAGATAACCAGGTCCTAAGCCATGGAGCGCTTTAAAGGTGGTAACCAAAACCTTGAAGCGCACCCGGAAGACCACCGGGAGCCAGTGCAGCTCGCGCAGGAGAGGTGTCACATGGGAGCGCCACGTCGCTCCCATTACCACCCGCGCGGCCGCACTCTGCGCCAGTTGGAGCCTCCGGGTGCTCCTCAAGGGGAGCCCCATGTAGAGAGCATTACAATAGTCCAGGCGGGAGGCGACGAGGGCATGAGTGACCGTGCGTAACGAGTCCCGATCCAGAAAGGGACGCAACTGGCGAATCAGGCGAACCTGATGAAAAATCCTCCCGGTCACGGCCGTCAAGTGCTCTTCTAAAGACAGCCGTGAATCCAGGAGGACGCCCAAGTTGCGAGCCCTCTCCGTGGGGGCCAATGATTCGCCCCCAATAGTCAGTGATGGCGTCAACTGCCTATATCGGGACGTCGGAAACCACAGCCACTCGGTCTTGGATGGGTTGAGCCTGAGCCTGTTCCTCCCCATCCAGATCCGTACGGCCTCCAGGCACCGGGACATCACTTCAAGGGCATCGTTGGGGTGATCCGGGGTGGAGATGTACAGCTGGGTGTCGTCAGCGTACTGATGGTACTCCACCCCGAAACCACGGATGATCTCGCCCAGCGGCTTCACATAAATGTTGAACAGGAGAGGCGAGAGGACCGACCCTTGCGGCACCCCACATATGAGGGGCCTCGGGGTCGACCTCTGTCCCCCTGTCAACACAGACTGCGACTGGTCAGAGAGAAAGGAGAAGAACCACCGCAACACAGTGCCTCCCACCCCCAACTCTTCCAACCGGTGCAATCTTTGTTGGTCTTCCCTGAACTCTTTCCAAAGTCTCAACATCTTTTTTGTGATGTGGTGACCAAAGCTGGATGCAGTATTCTAGGAGTGGCCTTACTAATGTTTTATTAGTTCTGAATCAACTGGATTAGTTATGAGACCCTGAAGGACCCAAAATGAGAGAAGACATGGTGCCAATGATGATGTCAACAGTTTGTCTATAAATCTGGGGGGCAGCTGATGAGTTCTTCTTTGAAGTTTTGGTTCAGCAACTGTTATAGTAAGCCAGAGATCAATCTTATGATAGCCAAACACCTCTATGTGCTTCCCTCTTGCCTTCTCAATCCAACCTCACTTGGTTGGAAATGTTCCTCCTCCAAGCGTCTCCGAGCTTCAGCCTAGGAACCTCCAAACTTGGAGCAGATTGTTAGGTTTTACTGGCATTTCCAGATCTCATTAACTTGCCTTGTTTACTGCTGTCAAGTAAGAAGGATGGTATCTCCTCAAGCAAAGCTGGAGAGATAGTTGGATCATCCAGGCCTGCCCTTCCTTAATTGCAAAACCCCATTGTTATGTGAAAGTATGGAATCTGTAGGTGGTAGATTCAAGGAAGGCGTTGCCTTCACATCCTACACATTTGCTTCTTCAAAATTGAACAATGCAAAGTTTGGGGGATGGGTCTATCACTGGCCAATGAGGAACCTCCATGTGCAGATGCAACATATGTCTAACTGGTGCTACCTGAAGGGATGATGGTCCTGCCCAAGAGATGGTCCTGCCATGACATGCAAATATATTAGAATAACAGAATGACAGAGTCCTTGGAGGTCTTCTAATCCAGCCCCCTGCTTAGGCAGGAAACCCTATACCCATGATGGCGAACCTATGGAATGCGTGCCCCAGGTGGCACACGGAGCCATATCTGTGGGCACACGAGCATGGCCCTAGCTCAGCTCCAGCCCTTATGCGTGCACTGGCCAGCTGATTTTTGGGCCTTTCGGGCCCACTGGAAGTCGGGAAACGGGCCAATTCTGGCCTCCTGAGGGCCTCCGGGGGAGTGAGGAAGGCCGTTTTCGCCCTCCCCAGGCTCCTAGAAAGCCTCTGGAGCCTGGGGAGGGCAGAAAATGGGTCTACTGGGCCCACCATGCCATCACCTGCCAAAAGCGGGATCACACAGGGGGGTCGCACGTGTATGCACAGGGGGTGGGGCACATTGAATTATGGGTGTGGGCACATGCGCGCTCGACCCCCCCATGCTGAATTGTCTGATTCTGTGTGTTGCAACAAACTCTGATACTGAAGATGTGGCTCTGCCAGACGGCTTGGGGTCCCAATGGGGGAGCATCACCCTGGAGGTGGTTGACAAATTAAGAGGCAATACCACCCACCCTTCTGTTCCTTCCCTCCTCATCTCTTATTTATCATTTTGTCTGGATTGGGATTTCTATTTTTATTGTTTTAGGCATATCGATAGATTACGACTTTAATTTTTTTTAATAATATGAGCCACTCAGGGTCATTTCATTATGAGATGGGGGGCAAATAAATTCAATAAGTAATTTCTCTATTACAGAAAATGTTCTATAAAGCATTTAATAAATGCCCTTCCCTTCTTCATCCTTCCCCTCCCCTTCTCTTTTCCCTTCCCTTCCCTTCTTCATCCTTCCCCTCCCCTTCTCTTTTCCCTTCCCTTCCCTTCTTCATCCTTCCCCTCCCCTTCTCTTTTCCCTTCCCTTCCCTTCTTCATCCCTTCCCTTCCCTTTTCCCTTCCCTTCTTTTCCGTTCCGTTCCGTTCTCTTCCTTTCTCTTCTTCATCCCTTCCCTTCCCACAGGTTTGTCCTTATATTGTTTCAGATGTGGTCATGCAAAATCCCATGCGGATTGTACCAGCTCCATTAGATGCTCCGACATGGAAAAATTCTGTGTGTCTCACACCCAGCAAGGACCCGGTAAGACTTAAAAAGCTTGATGACTAAGCAGGAACTTCAATAGGGCTAAGAACCACTTCCTTGGTAGAAGTGAAGGAGCCTGGAATAGAATAGAATAGCTTTTTTTATTGGCCAAGTGTGATTGGACACACAAGGAATTTGTCTTGGTGCATACGCTCTCAGTGTACATAAAAGAAAAGATACGTTCATCAAGAATCATAAGGTGAAACACTTAATGATAGTCGTAGGGTACAAATAAGCAATCAGGAAACAATATCAATATAAATCGTAAGGATACCAGCAACAAAATTATAGTCATACAGTCGTAAGTGGAAGGAGGTGGGTGGTGGGAACGATGAGAAGATTAATAGTAGTTCAGACTTAGTAAATAGTTTGACAGCATTGAGGGAATGAGTTGTTTAGCGGAATGATGGCATTCGGGAAAAAACTGTCCTTGTGTCCAGTTGTTCTGGTGTGCAGTGCTCTATAGCTACAAATATACAATGCTCTGTTATACCAACATGCCTTCTCTCTCCCTTCCTCCCTGCCTCTCTCTCTCTCTCTCTCTCTTCCTCTCCCCTCCCGCTCTCTCTTGTTCCAACACTCCTTTGTTCTTCTCTCTTTAGGGGAAGAACTGATGATTAGCAAATGGTGTTCCCCGAAATGTTCCAGATTCAGCCTGGAAATCAAAGGATCCCACGTGTCCTCACAGTGCTGCCAAACTGATTATTGCAACAGCGCTGGGCCCAGCGGTGCACGAAGCAGCGGTGTCCTTGTGATGGGGGCCGCCCTCGGCAGCTTCTTCTACATCTTCCAGAAAGAGTTGTGATAGGGGGGACAGGAGGAGAGAAAGAGAGGCCTGCAATGAGTCTCCAGATCTCTAGATTTCTCGAATGCCCCCCCCCCACACATACGCACATGGTTCCTTTGGCTAGTGAGGGAAGACCCTCCCCCTCTCCTAAAAGAATGAAATATTTGGAGAAATATTAAAAAAAGCAGAATCTTATATTTCCCTGAATGAGAAACGGAGAAACATGCTCTTGGAAAGCAGCCCCCGCCTTCCTTAATAGCCCCCAGCAGATATTTTTTGCCCATTAAGAAAGACTGGACCATCCTTTTTTTAAAAAAAAAGTTTTTTATTTTTTAGACAAACAAACATTTAATACATCAGTCATTCCTTCCATGTGACATCTCGGTGTTGTCGCCAAAAGTTCTTCTTTTTGTTGTTTCTTCTGTCTTCATTCTCATCCACTCAGTTACAACAATTCATCACTAACACACTATTCTAATTGTAGCATTTTTGTACATAGTTATTTATTTACTTATTTGTATCTCTTTTCTAACCAATAGTAGAGTTGATTCCATATCTTGAAGTATTTCTCAATCTTCTCTTTCTTCAACCATCATAGTCAATCTATTCATTTCTGCACAATCTAAATTTTTTTTTTAAATTACTTCTCCTTCCAAAGGTATTTTCTCTGTTTTCCAATTTTGTGCATAAGCAATCCTTGCAGCTGTTATTACATGTATAATCAAATAGATATTTTCTTTACTAATTTTTACTGGGAGGATACCCAATAAGAACAGTTCTGGTTTTAAATCAATACGTTGTTGTATCATTTCTTCCAGCCATATCTTAATTTTATTCCAATAGTTTTTAGCTTCTGAGCATGTCCACCACATATGATCATATGAATCTGATAACTGGTGACATTTCCAACATTTAGCTGATTTATCTTTAAACATCCTATCTGCAAAACAAAAGACTTTTAGCTCCAGGATGATGGAATTAAGACATATCCTCCAGGACATAATAGGCTTAACCCACTAGCAGCAGAGCTCACTACATTGCACAATCTCCTAAGGACATTGCATCAGAGTCCAAGCTTCAACCAAATGTATCTCAGACAAACATGACCCCACATGACCCCATGGAAGTCTGACAACAGCCAATACAATACATGTTCTTGCACAGGAACAGGAAGCTCAAGTGCAAAGCCCAAGAGAAGGTATAAATAGCCCCCACTCTCAACTCCATGTGGTCAACTGCCCCGGAACCCATGTGGTTTGCTTAATTAAATCATCTTTCCATTCAGCCTCCATGTTTTCAGTGTCTTTGTACCAGCTTGGAACTGGACCAGATGGATATTTCTTCCAACACTACTCATTCCCTTACTGGCTATCTCACAGGAATGCTGTTTGCAGCACAGTGGGGGAACTCTGGGATTTGAAGTCCACCCATCTTAACACTGCCAAGGTTGAAAAACACTCTTTACAGAATCAAAACAGGGGAGGTTGCCGTTTCCATTTGAACCGAGTTTCTGATGATTTTCTGATTTTCCATCTCATGCAAATCTTCTGAATTATTATTCGCTTAATACGAGTAATACGTGAGAGGGATCTGGGAGTCCTAGCGGACAACCATTTAAATATGAGCCAGCTGTGTGCGGCAGCTGCCAAAAAAGCCAACACAATTCTGAGCTGCATAAACAGAGGGATAGAATCAAAATCATGTGAAGTGTTGATACCACTTTATAATGCCTTGGTCACACTTGGAATCCTGCATCCAGTTTTGGTTGTTGTAAAAAAAGATGTGGAGACTCTGGAAAGAGTGCAGAGAAGAGCAACCAAGATGATTAGGAGACTGGAGGATAAAACATATGAAGAACGGTTGCAGGAATTGGGGATGGCTAGTCTAGTGAAGAGAAGGACTAGCGATTGGCATGATAACAGTGTTCCAATATTTGAGGGGCTCCTACAAAGATGCGGGGGTCAAATTATTTTCCAAAGTACCAAAAGGCAAGACAAGTAACAATGGATGGAAACTTATCAAGGAGAGAACCAACCTAGAACGAAGGAAAAATACCCTAACAGTGAGAGCAATTAATTAGTGGAATAGATTGCTTCAAAAGTTCTGGGTGCTCTATCACTAGAGGCTTTCAAAAAGAGACTGAATAACCATTTGTCTGGAATGGTACAGGGCTAACCTTTTTGCCATCGTGTGCCAAAGGCTGCAGGAGCCATGTGATCCCCGCTTTTGGCACACGATGGCACAATGGGCCCAGTAGGCCCATTTTTCACCCTCCCCAGGCTCCAGAGGCTTTCTTGGAGCCTGGGGAGGGTGAAAACGGCCTTCCCCACCCCTGCAGACCCTCTGGAGGCCAGAAATGGCCCATTTCCCGACTTCCGATGGGCCCAGAAGGCCCGTTTTTCACTCTCTCCAGACTCCAGAGGCTTTCTAGGAGCCTGGGGAGGGCAAAAACAGCCTTCCCCATTACCTGGAGGCTGGAAACAGCCTATTTCCTGACTTCCGTGCCGGAAGGCACGAAAATCAGCTGACCGACGTGCGCATGCACGCTGGACCTGAGCTAGGGCAATGCTTGCGTGTCCACAGGTATGGCTCGGCGTGCCACCTGTGGCACGCCTGCCATAGGTCGCCCTCCCGGGTATAGGGTCTCCTGCTCGAGCAGGGGGTTGGACTAGAAGACCTCCAAGGTCCCTTCCAACCCTATTATTCTATGTTTTCTAAATCAATATTGATCCTTCACAGCTACTGGTCCCTGATAAAGACACTGCTATAGCAGGAGGGGGTCTCGAAAGCCACTTTCCAAAGTGGAGCAAAGCTCTGGTAGAATAAATTTTGGGCCAAATTGAGATATTTCCTTTTAATCTGTTCTTAATTTATGTATTATGTATTATGCATTTATGTGTTTTTACTTGGCTGTATACCGCCCTGAGTCCCTAGGGAGAAGGGCAGTATATAAATTTGAAGTAAAAAAATAATAATAAAAAAAATAAAGGCCGTTTGTCCAATCTAATGGACAAGCTAAGTTTAAATCCAAGTGTTAGTTATCTCAGCAAAGCCCTAATTTGGAAAGCAATAAGGTAAAAAAAAAAAAAAAGTTTTGAAGTTTTGTTCAGTGCAAGAGTGTCCTCTAGTGGTCAAAGTCAAAAGTGCAGGTGGCAGAATCTTGCTATATGCATGTCAAGTGTTTGCAAGCCATTGGCACATGTGTCATATAGACACCAGTGGAGGCAGAGAGTGTCTCCACCCCTATGTGGAAAGGAGGGGCTTACCCTGAGTATAAAACCCCCTCCAACCTTTTCCACCTCGCTCTCTCCATCTCTCTCTTTTCATGTTTGTTCCTCATGAGACTTGATCTCTGTTGTACATAGTTAATATGATTTATCATATGAATAAGTACATTTAAGACATTTATTTATGCATCTGCCTCTGAACTCTTCTATGCTCCTGGGTGTTTCTACGATCCCAATTCCACAGAATGGTAGCAGAGGATGGTTTCGATCCATCGACCTCTTTTCATGTTTGTTCCTCATGAGACTTATCTCTGTTGTACATAGTTAATATGATTTATCATATGAATAAATACGTTTAAGACATTTATTTATGCATCTGCCTCTGAACTCTTCTATGCTCCTGGGTGTTTCTACGATCCCAATTCCACAGAATGGTAGCAGAGGTAGCACAATGCAGTACTTAGTTTGCTAGAAGGAGATAAGAACACAAGCGGTCTCAATGGTGCATTTTCAGGAGGCAACTGGACTTTCGTGGGTTTTTTTTCTTTTCTTTGAAGATGTTTTGCTTCTCATCCAAGAAGCTTCTTCAGCTCTGACAGGATAGTGGGGAATGGGAGCTGAAGAAGCTTCTTGGATGAGAAGCAAAACGTCTTCAAAGTAAAAAAGGGGGGAAAAAAACAAGGAAGTCCAGTTGCCTCCTGAAAAAGCACCTTTGGGACAACCATGACCTGGATGACTAAGAATCTCTACAGACTTTTAGCTGTAAGAACAAAAGTATATTAGTCTTGGAGAGAGTTAGAAAAGACACCAAGTACACTTGATGAGAGGGATCTTGGAGTCCTAGTGGACAACCATTTAAATAGGAGCCAGCCGTGTGGAGCAGCTGCCAAAAAAGCCAACACACTTCCGGGCTGCATCAACAGAGGGATAGAATCAAGACCACGTGAAGTGTTAATACCACTTTTTAAGGCCTTGGTAAGGCCACATTTGGGAAATTGTGTCCAGTTTTGGTCGCCACGATGTAAAAAAGATGTGGAGACTCTAGAAAGAGTGCAGAGAAGAGCAACAAAGATGATTAGGGGACTGGGGGTTAAAACATACGAAGAACGGTTGCAGGAACTGGGTGTGTCTAGTCTAATGAAAAGAAGGACTAGGGGAGACATGATAGCAGTCTTCCAATATCTCAGGGCTTGCCACAAAGAAGAGGGAGTCAAGCAGGAGTGAAATGCTCCCAGTTCGGACTGGATCTCCTGATCTGGTAGCGATGCGGTGGGTGGTTCGGAGAACCAGTAGCAAAAATCCCTGTGCCTCCCCCACCACCATGCCCAGCTGAGCCGCACGATCATCAGAGGCTTTTAAAATGCTTTTAAAAGTAAAAAAAAAAAGCCTCTGATGATCGCGCGGCTCAGCTGGGATCATCAGAGGCTTTTCTTTCAAAGCATTTTTTTCTGCAACCTCTTGGCCGAAGAGGTGGTAAAAAAAAATGCTTTGAAAAGTTAAAAAAAAAAAAAAGTTGGCCACGCCCACCCAATCACATTACCCCACCACCACCAAGCCACGCCCACAGAACCGGTAGTAACACATTTTACATTTCACCCCTGGAGTCAAGCTATTCTCCAACTCCTGGGGGAAGGATACTGCAAAATCTCCATTCCCACCTGACTCTGGGGCCAGCCAGAGGTGGTATTTGCCGGTTCTCCAAACTACTCAAAATTTCTGCTACCGGTTCTCCAGAACCTGTCAGAACCTGCTGGATTTCACCCCTGGGCTAATGTCACTGCTAGTTGCATCTCAGACAACCTCTAGTTATTGATCTTGGACCATTAGGGACAAGTGATCTTACAGGATGCAAACAAAAAGCTGCAATTAGAAACTAAAATAGAAGGTAGGTAAAATGAGGACCCAGATTATGGGGGCAATAAGCTGACTTTGTATAAATATACAAAAGTATGAAGGCTATTGCTTAACGCATTGTAAGCCGCCCTGAGTCTTTGGAGAAGGGTGGCATATAAATCAAATTAAAAAAAAAAAAAGGGGGGGGGAAAGAAGAGAAAAGGAAAGGAAATGTGTTTTTCGACACGTGA